CTGCTACGTGCTGGAGATCTCGTTACGTCTGGCTCGTGCTTACAAGTTTCCTGCATGAGAGATCTAATGATACCCATTTTACAGATAAGGAAGCTGAGACTCAGAGGGTTGAAGTAAGATTTCCAAAGTCACCCAATTCATGAGTAAGTAGAGCTGTGACTTTAACCCTAACCAACCTCTAAAGACCTGGCTTTTAACCACGGTCTTCAGGCATCACAAAAACATAGACCAACGTCCTCAAGAACTTTGCACCTCTCTGTTTCACTAGGAAGGCTCATCTCAGGTTTGAATGACTGTAGACCCTGAGAAGTTCTATTCTCTTACCTAGCATCTCTCCTTCTGTCTGAAGAGACTTTGTTCCTTTGGTTTTATGTAGAAGATAGAATTCTTGAGTAAAAAAAAAAAAAATCAAGTTGCAGAATAACAATCACAATCTTATTCTATATTATGCCATTGATGTATACTTTTTAAAACTCTACATACTGTTTAAAAAGGCATACCTATGTAGGAAAAGTATAAAAACATGCACAAAAATGGTAACACTAGAAGTTTCTACAGGGAAGAGACAAAATAATAGGAATAGTGTTGGAAGACAAAAGGACTTTCATTTCATCTTTTTTTGTGTGTGAAAAGAAAACAACTTGGAGAGAATTGGACTAAATGTGAACAATGTAATTTTGGCTGGTAGGTGCATGACTCTCTGTTATCTTATTATTTCTATTTTAGGACATTGTTCAAATTTCTCAAAAGAAAGAAAATTCTTGTCAATTTCTTTACTGGTCTGTAGAAGGAAAGTTTTCTGAGTTTTAGTTCTATCTAGCAAGGAGAATGAAATGAAATGGGATACAGAGAAAAAAGACAAGAGACTCCAAAAATGTCTGCTCTCATTTCAAGGATCCCAAGACTCAGGTGTGGGCTGGTGTGATGGTTAGTTTTATGTCAACTTGGTGAGGCTATGGTATACAGCTTCTGTAATGAAACTCCAGTCCAGGTATTGCTGTGAAGGTATTTTTTAGACACAATTTTTAGACATGATTAAGATTTAAATCAGCTAGGCATGGTGGCTCATGCCTGTAATCCTAGCACTCTGGGAGGCTGAGGCAGGAGGATTACTTGAGCTCAGGAGTTTGAGACCAACTGGAGCAAAAGCAAGACCCCATCTCTTCTAAAAATAGAAAGAAATGAGCTGAACAACTAAAAATAGAAAAAATTAGCCAAGCATGGTGGTGCATGCCTGTAGTCCCGGCTACGCAGGAGGCTGTGGCAGAAGAATCGTTCGAGCCCAGGAGTTGGAGGTTGCTGTGAGCTAGGCTGATGCCACGGCACTCTAGCCCGGGCAATACAGTGAGACTCTGCCTCAAAAATAAATAAATAAATAAATAAATAAATAAATAAATAAATAAATAAATAAATAAATAAATAAATAGATAAATAAACCCAGCAATGGTTGGCTGAGTCTCACCGCCCCTTCTCCTTCTCTCGTCTGCTTTTAAGAACCGTTGAGATGGCATGGGGCCCACCCAAGTCATCAGGATAATATCTCTATTTAATGGTCAACTGATTAGCAACCTTAGCTCCATCTGTAAACTTAACCCCCCACACACACACACCATGTAAGGGACTTCTGATACTGTGATACAGTGAGAAATACATATTTGGTCTCCCTTCTTGCTCTAGTCCAGAGCTCTGGAAACCCTTGGACTCCCCCAAGTGGTAAGTGCCTTTGCATGCTAATGAGATGGCTGGGGGCTGGGGGGTCCCGACAGCCGGGATGGGGGCTGGTTGCTGGGGGAACCAACGGTGTGAGCTTTCAGCCCCGCCCCCAGCCTCCAGAGAGGGGAGGGGCTGGAGAGTGAGTCGAACACCACTGGCCAGCGATTAGATCATGGCTTCATGGTGAAGCCTCCATAAAAACCTAAAGGGATGGGGTTCGGTGAACACACGGAGGTGTGGGGAGGGCACGGAAGCTCCTGCTTCTTCCCCAAACCCTGACTTATGTGTCTCTTCTATCTGGCTGTCCCTGAGTTGTGTTCTTGTAAAATAAATCAGTTTTCTAGTAAGGAAACCATTTTCCTGAGTTACGTGAGCCATTCTAGTAAATTATTGAATTGAAAGAGGAGGCCTTGGAACCCCCTATTTATAACCGGCCAGTCACAAGCACAGGTGAACAACCTGGATTTGTGGCTGCCATCTAAAGTGAGGGGGACAGAGGCAGATAGTGTCAGAATTTTGGGACACCCAGCCAGGGTTGGACAGTTGGTCAGTGTCAGAAGTTTCGCGCAACAGTATAGAGAAAACATTTTTTTCTTTATAGGAACATTTCCACAGCTCCTGAAGATTGGGATGTGGACATCCTAATGGTGCTAAGTGTGCCCAGGGTGACTTCTGAACGTGTCAACTCCACAGAGAATGAGGACGCCCACCCTGGCCCCACTGTCGTGGCTCCTGGAGTGTGAGACACACCAGCGATGACAAAAACCATTTGGCTGGGGGAAAAAAAAACTTAGAACTTATTGACACCTATGATTCCTGGTGCTGTTAGGTTCATAAGATATCTAGAGTCACCGGAGTTTATTTTTAATTTTTAAAATCAACTTTATTGGGGTATAATTTACATATGATAAAAGGCACCCATGTTATATGTTTTGTCATGAGTTTTGACAAAAGTATATATACATGCTACCACCCACACAACCAAGAAATAGAATATTTCCATTACATCAAAAAATGCCCTTCTGTTATTCTTTAGTTAACAATCCCCTCCCATTCCATAAGAAACTAATGTTCTTCTGATATTATCAACAAACTTTGCCTTTTCTAGAATTCCATATAAATGGAATCATACTGTATATACTCTTTTGTGCATAGGTTTTCGTAAAGAATAATGATTTTAAGAGTTATTCATGGTGCTGTCAATAACATATCAATTTATTTATTATTATTTTAGTAACAGTCTAAATGCATATGGCACAGTTTATACACCCACCACTCATCTCTTAATGAAAATTTGGGATTGTTTTACCAATTTGGGCTATTACACATAATGCTACTTATACATAACCATTCATATATAAGTCGTTGTGGGACATAGTCTTTTTTATTATTATTATTTTATTGCCCAGGGTAGAGTGCTGTGGCATCAGCCTAGCTCACAGCAACCTCAAACTCCTGGGCTCAAGAGATCCTCTTGCCTCAGCTTCCCGAGGAGCTGGGACTACAGGCATGCGCCACCATGCCCGGCTAATTTTTTTTTTTTAGTTGGCCAATTAATTTCTTTCTATTTATAGTAGAGACAGGGTCTCGCTGTCTTGCCCTGGCTGGTCTCAAACTCCTGACCTTGAGTGATCCTCCAGCCTTGGCCTCCCAGAGTGCTAGGATTACAGGTGTGAGCCACCACGCCTGGCCTGCAGCAGGAGTTTTAAAAATGTTTGTGGAGTAAAGGAATGACCTCAGCTGAAGGATGTCTTATTAGCCAGCTTTGATGAACCCAAAGCAGTAAGCGGTTAGCTGCTTGGGGTGCCTGGGAGGGTGAGAGGGCTCCCCAGAGCCGGTGGTAGGACCCTGCAGGATGAGTAGGAGCTGGGGAAGGGCCGCAGATATAACCGCATGCGCATTCGCATCTGCGGGGGGTGGGGGCGGTGGGGGGGTGGGGGGGTGGAGTGGCATGGAGACCAGGCCAGGTTAAGTTATGGGAAGAGAAGCGGCCCCTAGTCCCGGCGCTGGCCTAGCTCCTTTCTACCCGGCCTGTGCCGCCCTGTGAGACGCAGTCTTGCGTGGAAGATTCTCTTGGGAAAATATTTAAAAATAGAATCTTAGGTTCATAATGTAAGCATATTTTTAATGTTAGAAAAACTGCCAAGCTGGGTGCAGTGGCTCACGCCTGTAATCCTAGCCCCTTGGGAGGTCGAGGCCAGAGGACCACCTGAGATCGGGAGTTCGAGACCAGCCTGAACAATAGCAAAACCCCCATCTCTACAAAAAAAGGAAAAATGAGCCGGGCATGGTGGCGCATGCCTGTAGTCCCAGCTACTCGGGAGGCTGAGGCAGGAGGATCGCTGGAGCCCAGGAGTTTGATGTAGTAGTGAGCTATGATGACCCCACTGCACTGTAGCCCAGGCTACAGGGCGAGACAAGAAAGAAAGAAAGAAAGAAAGAAAGAAAGAAAGAAAGAAAGAAAGAAAGAAAGAAAGAAAGAAAGAAAGAAAGAAAGAAAGAAAAGAAAGACTACCAAGCTCTCTCAAAGTAACCCCGCATTTACATCCCACCTGTGATTCATGACAATTCCAGGTGACCCACACCTTCAGCGGCAATCGGTCCTGTCACAGAGACCAGCCTTGTTGCCTGATACATTCTCAGTGCTTAGAAGAGTGCCTCGATTTTGTCAAATGATCAATAAATTCTCTCTCTCTCTCTCTCTTTTTTTTGAAACAGGGTCTCACCCAGGCTTGACCTCAAAAATCTAAAATCGGTATTACTTGACAAAGTAAAGCAGATGTTCCCATGTTTTCCATCTGGTAGTTTTACTTAAAAATCTAGATCAAACAGACCCTAAGCAAATACATCCCTGGACATCAGTGTAGGCATTCTAGCTCAATTAGCTTGTAACAGTGGTTCTCCACTGGCGATGATCTGACCCACCAATGGGACATTGGGCAAAATACGGAGACTTTTTTTTTTGAGGCAGAGTCTCACTCTGTTGCCAGGGCTAGAGTGCTGTGGGCCTAGCTCACAGCAACCTCAAACTTCTGGGCTCATGTGATCCTCCTGCCTCAGCCTCCCAAGTAGCTGGGACTACAGGCATGCGCCACCATGCCCGGCTAATTTGATTATATATATAATTAGTTGTCCATGCAATTTCTTTCTATTTTTAGTAGAGACAGGGTCTCCCTCTTGCTCAGGCTGGTCTCAAACTCCTGAGCTCAAACAATCCTCCTGGCTCAGCCTCCCAGAGCGCTAGGATTACAGGTGTGAGCCAGGGTGTCTGGCCAGAGACTTTTTTATTATTGTCACAATTAGGTGGAATCCTTCCCACATCTGGTGGGTAGGGTACTACTAAGCATTCTCCAATGCACAGGACAATCCTCCACAACAAAGAATTCTGCAGTGTACAACGTGAGCACTGTCGAGCTTGGAAAGCCCTAGCTTGTGAGACAGGAATAGCGTGAGGTCATTAGTGTGCGGATAAATGACCAGCCCTTCCTGCAAGTGACGGACGGTCTCTGCCAGAAGCTTTCTTGGTCTCCCCTGAAATCATGATCAGGTCTCCTATGATCACGCTGGTGGCTAAGAGATTCGGCAGGAGGGGAGGTTACCCCTGCTCCTCACGCGGTGGCTACACTCGCACGCATGGGTGCTGTTTCCTCTCTACCCACGTGATTACGCAGCGTTTGTGTCTCAGTCGGTAATGAGGAGCCACACTGTCTTTGAGCTTCCCACCCCTAGCCCCTCAAGGCCACCTCACCTTACTGTCTGAGGAGATGAGACATGTTTCAGGGTATCGAAAACAGAAACCAGTTGAACCCAAAGTGGATCCACAGGGTCTGGAAAAGGGGCAAATGCAATTTCAGTAGGACGTGAAGGAAAACCTAAACCTTCTCCGAGGCAGTGCCTCAAAGGAGGCAGAACCTCAAATGGCAAACATAAAGGACAGGCTCGAGGGTTACAGCCCCAGCCCCCAGCCCCTCGGGCAGGCGGGACTGGAGGCCCCAGCTGAGCCACCAGCTTCTCGTGGACCCCGCTGGCCGGACAAGTAGGGTGTCCGAGCTGGGCCTTGGAGCCCGTCCCCAGCTGAGTTGTGTCCCCCACAAAAAAGATACGTTGGAGCTCTAACTCCGGCGCCTCAGAGTGTGACCTTAGAGAGGTAATCAAGTTAAAACAAGGTCGTTAGGGAGGAACCTAATCCAATATAACTGGTGTCCTTATCAAAAAGAGGGACTGGGACAGAGGGAGACACAGGAGGAAAACCCACGAGAAGGGTGCAGTGACGCCGCCACGAGCCGGGACGGAGGTGGGAGCAGACCCCTCCCCCGCACCGGCAGAGGACACTGGCCCTGGACACTGTGGGCTCACGCTTGCAGCTTCCAGAGGTGTGACAGCATAAATTCCTGTCGTTTGACAGGCTTTGTCACAGCAGCCCAGCAAACCACGCCAGACCCAGAGAAAGACAGGAGAGAGACGCAGGAGCCAGCTGGATGCCTTTAAATATTGGTACTGCGGCGTCCCCACCTCCAGACGTTGCCCAGTGCCCCTGCAGGACACTGTCACCCCCGGCTGAGAAGCGCTGGTTCTCAGAAGTCTGGCCAGCCAGAGAGGAGGGAAGTGAAGCCGACGTGGTGACTCAGTGAGCAGCAGCGCATCCTCCGGCTGTATCAGGGACCCCAGCTCTCCCGTCCCGTCTCACCTCTGCATCTCACTCACAAGATATGAGTCCGCAGAGAACCGCTGCGTCACAGACTTTCTGAGATGGAAAGATCGACGTGCCCCTGAGGTGGGTGAGTTTCTGGAGGAATTTCCAGACCTTTATCGAGATAACAATAATAATAATAATAATATACAGCTATATAGCACTTACCATATGCCAAGCCCTGACTGCTGACTTTTTCAGCAAACACGTATGTAACATCCACTGTGTGCCAGGCACTGCACCAATCCCCTGGTCAATGTTAGCCTGCTTAATCTGCGCCCCAGCCCGGTGAAGCAGGTAGTCTTACTACCCCGATACTAGAAATAGAAATAAAAACAACAGACACAGAAAGCAACTTGCTCATATAGCCAGGATCCCTTAAGTGCATTACAAAATTCACTAATTTAAATCCTAGCACTCTGGGAGCCCGAGGCAGGAGGATTGCTTGAGGTCAGGAGTTCGTGACCAGCCCCAGCAAGAGGGAGACCCCGTCTCTACTAAAAAAAAAATAGAAAAATTAGTCAGGCGTGGTGGTGCACACCTATAGTCCCAGCTACTTGGGAGGCTGAGGCAGGAGGATCACTTGAGCTCAGGAGTTTGTGGTTACAATGAGCTGTGATGATGCCATTGCACTCTACCCGTGGCAATGGAGTGAGACTGTCTCAAAAACAATTAATAATAATAATACCTAATATAATCCTCACATCAGCTCCACGATAGACACAAGTATTATCCCCCATTTTACAGATGAGGAAATTGGCTGTAAGCAGTAGAGCAGGGGTTCAGGTCACACGGGCTGCCTCCAAGCTCCTGAGCTCTTTACTGCGACACTACGTTGCCTCTTGGGACAGAAAAGACACTGCGATTAAAAGACTTGCTCCTTCTTGATTGGGCATAATAAAAAAGAGGCAACATTAAATCCGTGTAATTTCTCATCTTAGTGGTAACCCTAAAAATTGAGCCTTAAAGTGGCTCACTGTCTGCAGGTAGAATCAGCACCATGTTAGAATTTACTAGTACATTCTCAATGTTTCCAGAAAAAAAAATAAATAAACAGTCCCGACTTACAATAGTTAGACTTTATGATGGTGCAAAAGCAGTATGCATTCAGTAAAAACTGCACTTCTAGTACCCACACAACCATTCTGTTTTTCACTTTCAGTACAGCATAGAAAAAAATATTCATGAGATATTCAATACTTTATTATACAACAGGCTTTGTGTTAGATTATTTTACCCAACTTTAGTCTAAAGTGAGTGTTCTGTGCACGTTTAAGGTAGGCAAAGCTAAGCTATGATGTTTGGTAGGTTAGGTGTGTAGTAATTCATTTTCAACTAAATGATATTTTCAACTTACTATGGGGTTATTGGGATGTGACCTCATGGTAAGCCAAGAAGCATCTGTATTGCTTTTTATTTTTTGAGACAGAGTCTCACTCTGTTGCCCAGGCTAGAGTGCTGTGGCATCAGCCTAGCTCACAGCAACTTCAATCTCCTGGGCTCAAGGGATTCTTCTGCCTCACCCTCCCAAATAGCTGGGACTACAGGCGTGCACCACCACGCCTGACTAATTTAATTTTTTTAGTAGAGAAGGGGGTCTCACTCTTGCTCAGGCTGGCCTTGAACTCCTGAGTTCAAACGATCTTCCCACCTCAGCCTCCCAGAGTGCTGGGATTACAGGCATGAGCCACCGCGCCCAGCCTATATTGCATTATTTCCCACTATGTACTGATAATTATCTTCTGTTTTTGATGAAAGATACCAGTCTTCCATTTATAGAAGTGTTTTACAGATCTGCCTTTAAAATATAGAAAAATAACAAAAACCTGGGTCAATTTTGAGAGAAATATATCATGTGAGAGAGAACATGGGTGTCACATACATATGGCAAAAAGTTATTGGAAAATTCAAGAATGACTGAATTTTGGAAATCAGATAGGGGAAAATGTGTGTAAAACACCCTACACATTCTTCACACATAATACGTATTCAGGAGATGGAAGTTTCTAATATTTTCTCATTCATCCAAGCTGTTACCTACCCCACAGCCCTCACCAGTTCCAGCTCCCTGCATGGCCTGGCTAACCCCACCACAATGGCCCTGCCCTCCTCCAAGACTTACCAAAGCACAACAGGGGCAGGAATTGGGACATCATGGTGGCCCCTGTAAGGCCCTCCCAAGGACGTTGCTTCAGTGTGCAGGTTTGTGTTCCGTCAGAATGTCCTCTTGACTCAGGGACATGCAATAACAGCTTTGCTCCAGTTTTCTGATTCTCTAAGCTTACCCACAGTTTGGTAGTCGCAGTCAGGAGATGACAACTATGGCAACGCTCTCTCAAGCCACCTCCCACGGGCTTAACTCACAGAGTCCTCCTACAGCACACGGAGAATGCAGACCACCCACTTGGAAGGCATGTCGGTGAATCAGAACGAAGGGTGTGAGAAATTGCTGGTCCAACAAATCCAGTAACGACTGTCCCCATGTGCCAGGAACAGGATGTAGCTGCGTGCGGGCCGATCTCGAATATCTACTATGGATGTCCTCGCAGCTGCCTCTCCTGGCCAACAGGACACGAGCACAGTGATGTGTGAAACGTCTGAGTCCTGCCAGGACAGAGCTGGTAACACATGATGAGAAACTTCAGGACATCAACTACTCGGGAGGCTGAGGCAGGAGGATCGCTGGAGCCCAGGAGTGTGAGTGTGAGGTTGCTGTGAGCTAGGCTGACGCCACGGCACTCTAACCCGCAGAACAGAGTGAGACTCTGTCTCCAAAAAAGAAAAGAAAAGAAAAGAAAATCCTCAAAGAGACAAGAGTATTGCATCCTTTAAAAAGAAGGATAAAAAAGGTCAACATCAACAAAGGTCATCTAGAAAACAACCTCACAGCCAACGTCATACTCAGTGCTGGAAGTCTGAATACTTTTCTCCTAAGACCAGTAACAAGACAAGTGCCATGATCTGAATGTTTATGTCTCCTCCCTGCCAAATTCGTACGCTGAAACCCAACCCCCAAGGTGATGGTATTAGGAGGCCGGCCTTTGGGAAGTGATTAGGGCATGCAGTCGGCTCTCATGGCCCGGATTAGTGCCCTTGTACAAGAGGCCCAGAGAGCTGCCTCGCCCCTCCCACCACGTGAAGGTGCAGTGAGAAAGCGCGTCTATGAAGCAGGAAGCCGGCCCTCACCAGACAGAGAACCTGCCGGTGCCTTGATCTTGGACTCCCCAGCCTCCAGAACCATGAGAACTAAATTTCTGTTGTTTACACGCTCTCTGGTTTATGACATTTTTTTTCTATATATATTAGTTGTCCAATTAATTTCTTTCTATTTATAGTAGAGATGGGGTCTCGCTCTTGCTCAGAGCTGGTTTCGAACTCTTGACCTCGAGCAATCCTCCCGCCTCGGCCTCCCAGAGTGCTAGGATTACAGGCGTGAGCCACCGCGCCCGGCCTACGACATTTTGTTATAGCAGCCTGCTCGGACTAAGGCAATAAGGGTGCCTGCTTCCGCCACTTCTACATTCCAATACAGTACAGAAAGTTCAAGCCAGAGCATGTAGGCAAGGAAGAGAAAGAAAAGGCATCCATTGGAGAGGAAGAAGTAAATTATCTCTGTTTGCTGATGACATGGTCATATATGTAGAAAACCCTAAAGATTTCGTTTAAAAAAGGGATTAAAAGGTTTCTAAGAGATCTAGAATTATATATTATAATAGTAGTTATAAAAGTAATAGGCTGGACGTGGTGGCTCACGCCTGTAATCCTAGCACTCTGGGAGGCCAAGGCAGGCGGCTTGCTCGAGGTCAGGAGTTCGATACCAGCCTGAGCGAGACCCTGCCTCTACTAAAAATAGAAAGAAATTAATTGACCAACTAAAAATATATATACAAAAAATTAGCCGGGCTTGGTGGGGCATGCCTGTAGTCCCAGCTACTCGGGAGGCTGAGGCAGGAGGATCGCTTGAGCCCAGGAGATTGAGGTTGCTGTGAGCTAGGCTGACGCCATGGCACTCACTCTAGCCTGGGCAACAAAGCGAGACTCTGTCTCAAAAAAAAAAAAAGTAATAGTTAACTTTTACTGAGTGATTTCTCTCATGAACTTATTTTTCAGTCTCAAAATATTTAAGTACATATATCTATCTTTACCAGATAAAATCCACTTTTTCAAATAATAAAAGCACCATTGCAGTATCACATCAGGAAAATTAACAGTGCCTCCTTGACACCAGCTAATATCCAGGTCAGGAGCCACATTGTCCTGATTGTCTCAAAAATGTTCTTTTTTCTTTTTTTTTGAGACAGGATCTCACTCTGTTGCCCAGGCTAGAGTGAGTGCCGTGGCATCAACCTAGCTCACAGCAACCTCAAACTCCTGGGCTCAAGCGATCCTCCTGCCTCAGCCTCCCGAGTAGCAGGGACTACAGACATGCACCACCATGTCTGGCTAACTTTTCTCTTTTTTGTGGAGACTAGGCCTTGCTCTTGCTCATGCTGGTCTCCAACTCCTGACCTCAGGGATCCTCCTACCTCTGCATCCCAGAGTGCTGGGATTACAGGTGTGAGCCACCACACTGAACTAAGATTTCTATTTTTCATAGAGACGAGGTTTTGTTCTTGCTTAGGCTAGTCTCAAACTCCTGAACTCAAGCAATCCCCCTGCCTTCCAGAGTACTAGGATTACAGGCATAAACCACCACCCTCAGCCAAAAATCTCCTCTTTATCAATTTTTATTTTTATGGTGATCCAAATAAAGTCTACAAACTGCATCTCATAAATATGCTAATTGAAATAAGACAAAATTCTCAATCTCTTTGTTAAAATAAGAGATCAAGCAAGTCATACATTTTATTTTTGTTGTTGTTTTGGAGATTTTATTTCAAAGTATTAAGGGGCATAGGTTTTAATTTTTTTTTTCCATCATTCATTTGGAAGAAGAGCTAAGTGCCCCCAAGGCTCTTTTCGTCCTGATAGAGCTTACTTGTCTTATTGTTTTAGGAACACGGGAAAATCAACTAGGCAACAAGTTACCAAGGACTAAAAACAATTATAATTACAGATGTTTCTTTGCAAATTATTTTCACAAGATGTAGCAATGATTTTTAAAGGCCTGAGACGCTTACAAGACCCTGTTGTTCCAATAGCAGTTCTGTTATAGATTTATTTCAACAGAGGGGAGAACAATTTAGTAACAGTCATGAATATTCATGTAATTCTCCATATTGTACCAGAAAACAAGATTGATATTCTTGGGAATCTTCTCAAGTCAACACTTTATCAAATCAGTTTCCTTAATTTAGTTTTATGACTCAGAAAAAAACCTTTCTCCTTATGTACTTCAGGAAAAAGAGGACGTCTTGTATATTTCTCCTTGGCATCCCTTTTGCTAACTCCGAAGATGTGCATTTTAAAACTAGGCTCTGGAATTTCATAAGTCAAACAGTAAAAGCCTGTTAAAGTTCCATTTCGCTGGTAGAAATGGAGGAACGACTACTAAACAGGATTTGATTTAGTAACAATGAACCAGAGGTGGTTGCCATTAAGCTTACCCATTGTATGTATGAGGAGACTGAGGCCTACTGTATAATTATGCTTTTTTTTTTTTTTTTTTGAGACAGTCTCACTTTGTTGCCCAGGCTAGAGTGCCATGGCATCAGCCTAGCTCACAGCAACCTCAAACTCCTGGGCTCAAGCGATCCTCCTGCCTCAGCCTCCCAAGTAGCTGGGACTACAGGCATGCGCCACCATGCCCAGCTTACTTTTTCTCTATATATTAGTTGGCCAATTAATTTGTTTCTATTTATAGTAGAGACAGGGTCTCGCTCTTGCTCATGCTGGTTTCGAACTCTTGACCTTGAGCAATCCGCCCGCCTCGGCCTCCCAGAGTGCTAGGATTATAGGCGTGAGCCACCACGCCTGGCCTAATTATGCTTTATAATTACATATTGTAGTTCTTTTTTAATTTCAGCATATTAATTGGGTACAAATGTTTAGGTTACATATATTGCCTTTGCCCCGCCAGAGTCAGAACGTATTGTATTTCATAAAAGATGAGAAACCTCTGGCTCAGGTGCACTGACCACTGGCACACCAGGCCAGCCTGTGTATACATGCTCCCAGCTTACATACGTAAGAATGGATCTGAAGACAGGACCCGTTATGCTTCCCAAATATCTGATGGGAAGCCCATTTCCTCAGACATGGCCCCCCACAACTGTGCATTGCCCAAGAGTGCTGCTGCCGGAAGGCAGGGCCCTCATTCCTGGGCACCACCAGGGCTCCCGCTGTGTCCTCACCTTCTGTCTGCCACGTGTGTGTCTCTGCTCTTTCTTTTAGCGGGCCCCAACCACCCACGTGTGCTAATCAGGGGTGTGTGTAGGGGTCATAGGAGATAATAATAAAGCCAACGAGTGCTTGGTTGCAATTCAGAGTTAGGAACATCCTCCAAATCACTTCTATTGTTATGGCAGTAAAAAGAGGCGTCTCAAATCTTCTTAATGTCAAGCTACACTGCGGTTTTGTTTAAATAGCTTTTGTTCAAGGCTAGCTCAGTAATATGCTTTTAGATAATTAGGGACTGGGTTTTGGATGACTTTGATAAATGACTGCTCATTTTGTTAGGTGTTTATCACACCTAGCCTCATGGCTATGTTACCAAAATATAAAGTCCTTATAGATGAAATAATATTATGTCTGGGATTTACTTTAAAATATCGCAGCAAAAAAAAATTAAAAATAGACAGGAGGGCATAGGAGTTATATATAGTTACCTGTAGATAATCTACATGATTATCTTAAAACTGTCCTTTTGCTGTTGAGAATAGCAATTTTTAGCTGGGCCCATTGCCACCAAGCAAAATACTATATTCCCCAACCTCACCTGCAGGTAGATGTAGCCGTAGCCTTTACCTAGGACAGTAAGATACCAGCATAAATACTGTGGACAGATTCCAAAAGTACCTTTTTTTTCTTTTTTAATGAGACAGAGTCTTGCTCTGTGGCCCTGACTATAGTGCCATGGCATCATCATAGCTCACAGCAACCTCAAACTCCTGGGCTCAAGCGATCCTCCTGCCTCAGCCTCCCAAGTAGCTGGGACTACAGGCACATGCCACCATGCCTGGCTAATATTTTCTATTTTTAGTTGTTTAGCTGATTTCTTTCTATTTATAGTAGAGATGGGGTCTTGCTTTTGCTCATGCTGGTCTCGAACTCCTGAGCTTAAACGATCCACCCACCTCAGCCTCCCAGAGTGCTAGGATTATAGGTGTGAGCCACCGTGCCCGGCCCTCATCCTATATTTTAAACACTTCT